GTCCTAGGTTCTGATGCAATTTCAGCAAGAACGATTTTTCTTCGGCTGATATGGTCTTGAACTTTGGGCCATGGTCAAAGCTCGGCATATGGAGTTGACTCGAACTCGCTCCTGTCTCTTTGGTCTGATCCGGATCCAGCTCTGTGACAGGTGCTTGGTCACTACTTGGCAGGCTGACGGTTGCCTCCTGCGGCTCGATGCTTGTTCCCGTTGCCTCGGGACTCATATTCTGTTCGGTCGAATCACCTGATGCTTCTGACTTGGATTGGGGCAAACATGCATACATTGTGATATTGACTCTTGCGGGATGCGCTGGGCGGACTTGCTGCCGATGAGACAGGTCTTGCCAGTATTCCCAGTCCTTTTCTACTTGGATTACCCCCCCTATTCGGCTTACGATGATGGCACGACGATATGGGGCCTCATTCTTTACCAAATCCCTTGGCGGTGGCAATGTTCGATCTGATCCCTTACATGCTTGAACTTTCTTGATTTCTTATTCGGGCAACATGTTTTGAAGCCTCTCCAAAATTTGGTGGTTTGTGATAAAAGTCTTCCCTACTCTTGGCAACATTGGTTGGATGTCCTTGATGATTTCTTCTAGTTGTCTCTGAGGTGACATGTTCATACTCTGCGATTCGGCCGCCTTGCCGTCAATGCGGCGGCGCTTGCACTCGTTCGAGAATTGCTCCAGGGGTGTTGGTGGCAGTCGCCCACCTTGGGACTTCTGCATGGGAGAACTCACACGGATCCGCTTGGATGCACTTTCCTCACTCGGTTGATCTATTCCTCTGGTTACAAGGGGAGTAACCCATGGCTCATGTTTCACTTTCAACATCACCTTAGCTACTTGTCTTGCAAACTTTCTTGGATAGTTCTCTGTATAGCTACTGACGGTGATTCTCCCGAGAGGCGTTGTCACGGATCCGGCAATGGGTCTGTGCTCATGATCTCGACGACACACCCGGCCATGCAACGAGGCATACATCTCTTGCGATGTCGTTCTTACAGCCATCTCCTTTTGTATGAGTTTGTTCGTTTCTGGACATGTCAACTGGCCTACGCGACACATGTCGAAATTGGCTTCCTGAGTATATGAATACAGCTCTTGCAGGAGTGGGGTCTTGAACATGATGGATTTTCGTGGCTGCTCCCAGTGCATGTGGTTTCCTAGCTGACGTGACATGCGAAGCAAGACTACTCCTAGTGCAAGTTCGAACAAGTGTGACTCTCTCTCTCTCGTTGAACATGTTCACACAATTGGATTGATCTCATTTCATCGAACGTGTTCCATGCGCTCCATGGTCCACAGGTGGGACTGAACCATATGTGACGGGGTCTTTGTTTCCACGCCATTTGAAACAGAACACTTCTCCCCTCCTTGGTTTTGAGGTCGCCCTGCGCCCTTCCAAAACGGTTGCTCTGCCGCCCAGCAGTTGGACTTGCTTCGTCAGTTCACTGGCCTCATGACAAAACACTTCCAGCGAATGTAGACGGCTGCATCCGTTCGAGATCACTGGATCACACCTTGCTAGACTGGCTTCCTTTGAGATTTGCTGAACCAGTGCATGGAATTTATGGGACAGGCTGTGAGTCTTACCTGGACTGACATCTTTTTGGCGCATGGACGATACATGTATATCAGCTTCCTCGAAGGAGTCTAGCCATGACGAGCTCATGAAGCCCGGAGGTGGGCAATGATCTCCTGCATCGCACCTTCGATGGTCTGAAGGCGGGTGTCCATGGCTGCCATCTCCGTGTAGATCTCTGGCTGGATCTCGATCTCCTGAACTGGTTCCCAGGATTCGTCCTCGGCAAGCGGGGTCACTTCCTGAATCGGCTTGGCCTTGGCCTTGCTCTTGAGAGCCGGATGAAGTGGCCTCTGACTTGGTGATGGCTGCAGGTCTTGACTGTTCAGACCCAGTTGGTGCTCGGCATAGGTCACCCTCAGTGAGATGTAGTGGATGAACTTCTGATGGTTGACCTTGTTCGACGAGTGATAACTTGCCTGGAACCACTTCACATACTTGCCCTCCTTTTCCCATATCTCCGAGTAGGTCCGACCGAGATGGGCTGATCCGAAATCGATCTTGGCTTGGCCCATTTCGTCCAGTGATAGGAGCTTGAAGGCTTCGAGCTGATCGAGGGCTTCTTCTTTGCTTCCCCCATGACACGTGCCAAGCGGGCACTCAGAGCGGCTGCTTCGGAGGTCGGCGTGATAGTGATGCGGCGCAGGTGACCGAATGGGATGATCACACGTGTGTGATTGCACAGATCCGGTCTTGAACCCAAAACGGATGACACCGGGCTGGACCCCCCCTGGAACCGATTCGAATGAGACTTTCTCACCCCCGCGAACACTCGGACGTTCGTTTGGTTTCTTTGTGTTCGTATGGGTCTTTGTTGATTCGGGCATGGCGGCTTCGAACTGTTGGATTCTGCTTGTTACAAGACCTGTCCTCACCTGAACGTTCTGTTTCATCATGGTCTTGGTTTCCGACTGCACTTGTCCAGGCTTCTGGACAGAGACACTTGGCAAGCTTTTGCAATTCAAAGTGGCGAAGGTCTCGGCAGGTTCAGCTTCGGCATCTTGACTGGTGGGTGTGATCAGATCATTTAGATCAACTAAAAGTAAACCCTTGACATTCAGCTGAATTGGAATATTGCGCTTCAAGAGAGTGCTTTTGATCACTTCACCAGCTATATCTACGGTGGCTCCGATGGCTCGGAGCAGAGTATTCGACAGCAGGAAAGGTGTATGGCCTGGCACTATGGCAATCTTGAGCTTCAGCGGTCCGATTGGGACAACGAGCGCATGCTTGCTTTCAAGTGTCCCTTGATTCCCAAACCGAAAAACCACTGAACAACGACACCTTTGGACCTGCTTCCGAACCTCTGGCCTTAGTGCGGCTAGGAGATTGGCTACGAAACCGCTTCCTATGACGGTCTTAGTAGCACCTGTATCTACGATTCCCAGGGCATCGCGAGTTGAAAAGCTCGAGAATGCACTGGCTTCGGTGTCATGCATCGACTTGGCTTCAGGTGATTGGGCGGTGCTAGCAAACGCACTCTCTGGCAAGCTAGTCCTGACATCAAAATTCTCACACTCGGTGATCATTTCCCCTTTGTGGGCTAAATCAATGATTTCCCCTTCATTGGTCTCCCACAAACCCCTCAGAACACCGGTGTCCCTTGATTCACAAACACACAAAACTTGTTTCGTATTCTCTTGAGTGGCGTTGAGCGTCTCTTTGGTCAGCTCTGGCAAATCCATGAACTCCAGTGGCAGCGCGTCCTGCTCATCATTCACTGTCACCAGTGTAGGAGCAACAGCTGTCGATGGGGCCGACTGAGATCCACGTTGCGGGCATTCAGCCTTCCAATGGCCTTTTCGGCCACAAATCCTGCAGCTGCTCTCCATGATCCTCTGCTGGAGGCTCTTTCTATTGCCAGAAAACTTTGAGGAGTAGGGGGATCGCTTTCCTTTTTCACCCCCTTTCCCTTTTCCTTTGCCTTTGTTCTGACTTGTTGGCCAGAACCCACGTCTTTTGAAGCGCTCTGACAGGCGGCGACGGGCATCCATGTATGATGATTGTGTCAATGCTAGATCTTCGTTGTCTTGCACTGCGTCCAACATTGTGGATTCATACTCCATGATCATGGCGGCGTCCTCGTCACCATCATTTGCAAGACTCTCAATCCATTCTTCCTCGGTCCAATCATCGAGATTGTAGGTGGGCTCGTCGGGCGCTTGGTCGTGACCATCAGCTTCTTGGGCAATGAACGCATTGGCCTCATAGGTTTTGGTCCTTGGATTGTTCTGCTTTCCGCTGGAGTGGACCTCATGGAAGAATCGACTCCGCAGGAGCTTCAGATTGGATACCACCTCTCTGTACTCCAGTGAACCCTGCGATTCAACAATCAGTCTCTTCTTGTCTTCTGAGCTCAGGGCTGAGTTGCGAAGCAAGATGTATGCACGAAACTCATCCATGCCGACCTTCATGCTCAGCAACTCTTCGAATTGATGATCGTGCCGAGCTAGATAGCTCTCATGGGTCTCGTCGGCTCTTTGGACTGTGCTGTAGATTGCACGCTCAAACCTTTCAAACTTGTCCTCCAATCGGGATTTTCCCCAAATCCCTCCAAGGGCCTCCACGATGGCCTTCACTCCCTCCAAGTTTCCAACACGCAGCTTCTTTGGGTCCAGTCTGGCAACTCTCTGAAAGGCTGATCCCTCACATTGCAATGCAACTCGTGGGGCAAGCAGGTGTAGTTGCTCTGGAGGCCATAGTGATGCCAGGAACTCTACTTTCCGTGACCATTCAGTGAGGTCCGTCTCACCAGGCTTGAAAGATGGAACCTGGCTCCATGGGAGATTGCTCAAACCTCCTGTGGAGGAACTGAAGCCAGCTGAATCACCTTCCGGTGGCATTGGGCTGTTTCCTCCCTGGAAACCGCAGCTCAACAACTCTGTGACAACACCACCAAGACAATGTGCAACCTGTCGACTGCCTTGCGGCCAAACAACGTATTCACCGACTCAACCACGCAGTCAACAACAACCAAGCACAAGGGTCAGGTGTTGTCTGGAGCTTTAGCGGTAGCTCCGCTACCAATGTGATTGACACAAAGGTAGCAACAAAAGATCCTCCTCCCCTCGCACAGCCGCGTGCGTTTTCCACTCACAGCTCACCTGAAGGTTGGTACGAACGGTCGGGCGCCTCGCCCTGCAGTGTCCTCACTGCTTCTATGGCTCAGGTCACGGGTGACCCACCCTACACCACCCTTGCGGCCTCGCACACTCGTGGCTTCGGACGTGAACACACCTGAGTGGGTCAAGACTGGTTCCTCAGTGACCGAAAGGTTCGAAATTCACAATATCTCAATATATATATATATATTTATCACACGTACATCAAGGTAAAGACTGCAGTTTCGGTTCGTTGGATCGAGCACAGTGTATTCAATCGTGAGCACTTACGCACTTGAGATGACATGAGGCTGCAAAAGAGAGCACATCACCCAAGGCCAAAGCTCGTACCTCCAAGCGCATGAAGAGCAAGCGAAACTTGCTTTTTCTTCTTGGCGCTAGATTGCTTTGAGGCTGTGAAAGGCAGACCTTCGCCAAAAGCGAAGGCCGCAGTCTCAAAGTTGTTGAAACAGGCGATGTATGGCGACGCTGATGTGCGCATTCTATTTGTGCAACATCAGCACCGTCCGAGCTTCTAGGGCGTTTTCAATAGCTCAAAACCAGGTCTTAGCCGGAAATCATATAGAATATAGAGAATCAAGTTGAGTTCGCGGAATCCGGAAAGTCTAAGGGTAACCAAAGGCTTTGACAACAAGCTAGCAGCAGCATTCGAAACGATCCTTTGTTGGGAGATTTGCTTCCAGCAGAGGGCAAACCGGGGATTCACAAGCAGCAGGAAGACTGCCAGACGCAAAGATGCAGACACCAGTCCAGACACAAGGGATCAAGAGTGACGGCCGGACTTTGAACTCAAGACCTTTCAGTCCATTTACAGTTGGGTAAATTTACTGTCGAGTGATGCAGTGGTAGTTGATGTAGTTGCGCAGAAAAGGCTGGGGGTCGTCAGCAGTTTTTAGTGATAGAGGAGTGTCCGAGCACCGAGCAGATCAACCACCCCAAACATCCCAGCTGCGTACGTGTCCTAAGCGCTTTTGGCACGAGAGGTGGGGATAGAAGAATTGTTGAAAGTTCTGGACGCAAGCTCGCAAAATGTTCAAAGACTAGTTTCGTCCAGCTTCTTGCGACAATAGGCAGAAGAACACTGAACAATACTTTGCGCTAGGTTGAGGCAAAGGAGCAAAACAAGAGGCGCTAAGGGACTCAACAGCTTGGGTTTGTGTTTTGGGCGTATCATTTCACTCGTTGCAACACTCTCAGCTCGTTTGCACTGGACTGTAGCTGAAAAGACTGTAGCAGAACTTGCCAGGAGTGCATGCACCTTTTCAGATGCATCGGAGGAGGTCGGTATTGGCAAGTGATGAAGCTTTAGGTTAGACACCTGTAGATGATTGTGAGTCCAGTGAACACGGGCAGGTTCTAGACCTTCTTCAACAAGTGGCAAACTTGGATGAATTGCAGAGATGGGCTTTTGCTGGTGGTCGGGACCCCTGGCTAGGGAGCATCGCAGAGCACAATGTACAGCAAATACGCACACCGCCTTCTTGCTTTGGCTTCCGTCCAAGTACTTGGATCCGTTGGACCTATCATCTCCTCATTGGATTGAATCGAGGTTATGATGCTGTGACCGTGCCACTGAGTAAGGCGCACGCGAAAGCAGCAAAGGACACTTTTGAGAGCGCAAAGCAATATGCTTTACATTATGCAACTTTTGTAAAACTACACATCTATTTGTTTGTATGTCCATTCCTTTGTAAAAGCGGAACATGCAGTATTTGAAGGTCAAAGTCCTGCATAGGTGACCAAGAGCATGGTGCGCGAAGGCTTCACGTGGTGAAGTGCTTAGTTGAATGCACACTGAAGAACCTAGTTTCTGTAGTGTTGTTGTGTTGTTCAAGCTGCTTCCAATGGACGATGAAGAACGCCCAGAGGAAGAAAGCAAAGAGCGGTTGGGTATTTTTTGCTTAGTTCCTTTCTCATTCTCTCTCTATTTTTTCATTTCGGCGCTTGTGTCTACATTTCTTGGCATATTTTGATTGACCTTTTTCGTTTTCTATTGTTCCTTTCCGCACATTTCTCCCGTTTCTTTACTTCTTTTGCTGTATCTATGAATCGTTCTTGCTTTTCCTCATCAAATTCGACACTTTTCTATTGTTAGTTGTATTGTTCTTTTTCCCTACTTTGTGTAGTTCTTAGAATTTGTAGCCTTATGCAGCTATTAGTACATTCTGTATCGAACCATGAATTATTCCCCCGGTGTCCGTACCAGTAAACAACTATTCGTTTGCATCGTAGGCGCTAGTATTTGTGCAACTGTGTGGTGAATACATTTGCCTGAGCTGAGCTTTCATTCTATCTTAGCTTCCTTTGCAGAAGTGCGTGAACCGATTGAACAGCTGTTGCATGGATGACTCCGGGCAGAAATGTTTTTCCACAGACAGCGAGAGCTATTGGGGGGTTCCTACTTCAAGTTTAGGAAGAGGTGCTTGTGTGTGTGTGTGCTTGGAGAGTGCAGGTGCAGGGTGCTGCTGCCAGATGTCCATGGTTGTGTGTGCTTTGGAGCTTGAGTGCTGGGCCCGCTGCAGCGTGCCGCCGCTGGAGGGTGTTGCTGCCAGATGGCAGTGGCGTGGCTGGTGCCGCTGCAGGGCGCTGCTGCTGCCGCCCACAAATAACCTTTGCTACTGGCGTAATTCATGTCGACTCAAGGTTAAAGGCAATTGAGCGTGAGCTGGCCAAGCACATTTCTCAGCACGCAAAGCCTTTCAGTTGTCATGTCATTTTGCTTTGAAGCAAAGAGCTTGCTTGGGCTTGAAGATGTCAAGCTGACAGTTCGATTGGCTTGCTTCATCTCTTGGCATGAGGCCTGAGCCTCCTACTGAGTCTTTGGAAGCCTTGCCAGTGGCTGAGTTTGAAGTACATTTGGTCACGTAGGGTTTTCACACGTGCAGTGGGCATTGAAAATTCAATTTTGGCTATGTTGTTTCGATTCAAAAAAGATGAATAAATAACTGGATTCAGTTTTCACAGGAATCAATTCGAGTCCAAGGAGCCAATCCTTCTACAAGGTGATGATCTCAGGACGATCACAGCTGTGTATGTGGCATTTCAAATCATGCATGCACTGCAAGAGTGACATGCTTTCTGACAATAGATGTGACCAGTTTGTTAAATCACGGCTTGTGGTCTGCTGCTAAGGTCGTACCACTTCTTGCGAATGAGGGTAAGGACCAGTCGCAAGGCTGAATTTCAAGAGGAGCCAGAGGAGCGCGCAACGCGCCTGGCAGGAATCAATTGCAACATCAGACCTCTTCCTAAGAAGGAGCTGCAGGGACACTGCAGACAGTGCTTGCTCCTGCATGGTGGTTAGTGCCCTTGTTGCATCATCTTTTGAGTTGTGGCAAAGGCGTTCAACAATACGGTTAACATATATATATATATATTCTTTTTTACTTTCTTATTTATTAATTGATTTTGTTTCTTCTTGCACCCTCCGTTCTGCTATCCAACTTTGCATCAGTTGGATTTTATAATTTTTTTGTTTTGCCTCCCAATGCCTTGACCGGAGCTCATTAAGCTCGTTCACCTTCCGCTGAATTTGCAAAGTCCTGAAAGACAGCGTTTGCATCGGCCGTGGCTGTGAAGGCTTCGTGTGGTTTCTATGCTCTCCGACATCGAGGAGCAGTTTGCTGTTGCTGGAGTCATGCGCTTGCAGTGCTTGGCTTCATGGTTCTGCGTTTGCGGTGCTAGTTTTTCCATCTCCCAAGTTGGTGTGTTTCTTTAGATGTTTCTAAAGATGCTTATTGGTATTTATATAGATTATCTCTTAGCTCACTCCTTCTCTCTCGATATCCATCGGACTTGGTGCAGGCTGCTCATTCCCAGTTGCGCTTGCTGCTGAACTTCACAGAGGAGGCTGCAGCCGCAGGCACAGAAGTGCTGACGTTTGCAAAACAGATGATTACAAAGGACGTATTTCTGTACATACATACTGTGAAGTTCCAAGGCTATGAAAGCATTTGTCTCATGTCTAATCCATGCAGTTATACCAAAATGGTACGCTTCGCGGGCCATAACGGCTCGAACCCCACTAGGCCTTGAGCCTATCCGGTGTGCGGTGGAAAACCGCGCGCTTAGGCTTTAGTGCACTTGACACTGGTAGCGGAGCCTTAGCTTCGGTAGGTCGCCATAGGTTGCCTGTGACCCCGCCGCAAGCAGAAGCTGGACATTGTCTGTGGCCGTACAGCGCTTGGACTTTGTTGGTTGAAGGCTGGCTAGGTGGCTGGACACCAGTATACCGGATTTCGTATCGCGAGTATTGGTGTACTTGACACTTAGCAAGGTACCATTGGAATTCAAGTTTTTGCAGATTTTGTCCCCGCAGTTTCACAGATTTTTGCACGGATTTGTTGACATGTTGTTTCATGCAGTCGCAGCAGAGCAATTCATTGTATGTGGGCACGAAGTCCAACGTGGTGCACTATGATGGAAGCCCCAAGCTGGCAGAAGAGTATGAAGAACGTGTATGGCTGGGACTCCAAACGGTGCAGAAAGAAGAGAAAGCAAGCTACGCTGCAAAGTTGAAGAATGCTTTACATGGAAGAGCGTGGACTTTGTGCCATCGAAGGCCGGAGATTGCCGCCCAGAAGCTGTTGCAAGTCAGTGAAGCTGAACCCTCAGCCAATGCTGGACCTAAGGCTGCAGTTCAGTTGGTTGTGAAGACAGTTAGGTCAGCGTGTGAAAAGGTGGCGCCGCTCTTGAAGACCCAGACCTTCGAGGACTACTTCTTCGACAAGGGACGCCGGAAGCTGGGTGAAAGCATTCAAGATTACATCAGTCGGAGAGAAGGTGAATATGAGAAGCTTTCCGCATTGACCCAAGGCCATACAAAGCTGTCGACAGATCTTCAAGCCTTTTTTTCTGCTTCGCAATGCAGGTGTAAGCCCTTCACAACATCGGGCCATCCTTGGACAAGCTGGTAATGAGTATGATTGGGACAAGATTGTTGAAGCAATCAATGCTCATTCAGTTGGATGGAGGTGAAGAGCCACAAGGCAAAGGTTGGAAGAGCAGTTACAAGTCACGACAGCAGAGCAATTACAATCCAGGTGGCCAGCGCTCATGGGCATTCCCGATCGAGGAGGAATGGTCGAGCTATGAAGGTGAGAATGACGAGATCTATGCAGTTGAAGACTGGCAAGAAGAACAGGTGGAGGATGACATTCCTGTCTATGAGGTTGAGGAAGATATCCAATACGACATCGAGGAGATGGAGCATGCCATCGAGGTCACGACAGTGGAGGACCTCTCATTTGATGAGCTGGATGTCTTTGCAGCTACCATTCAGAAGATGGGCAAAGGAGCTTCGGAATACGCTCGAAAACGACAACCGGTCCGCGATGGCAAGGTCAATTCAGCCCAATGCGATTGGACGCAATCGGACAGCCATTGCCCTGGATGGAAAGCTGACCCTCAACGCTGGTCAACTACAGGACAAGCTGCAGCAGATCAAAGCAAGGACGCAATGCTATGATTGTGGACAGAAGGGGCATTGGCGTGGTGACAAAACATGTTCGAAGAGCTCAAGTTCATCACCCGGAAGCTCAAAAGGCGGCAAGAAGAGAAAGAAAGGAGGTCGCAAAGGAGGGTTTCTCCAACGAGCAGGTATGGCTGCTGCCATGCTGGCTTCAGCGTCAGGTCAACTGATGTCCTCATGTCAGGATGCCTTGATGTGTTTGGGAATGATGGAAGATGAGTGCGAGCCTCAAGCCTTTGAGATGCCTTCATATATGGTGAACGATGAGTTGGACGAGATGAAGGTTCCTTGGTTGAACGTGGATGCATTCATGACACAAGATGTTGAGACATCATCCATTCCGCACTGCCTGACCTTCATGGCCAATGCAAGTCGCGAGACGGTTCCTGCTGGAATGTGTGTTGTGGACACAGCAGCTTTGATCGGTTGCGGAGGCGACAGAACATTGGACAAGTTCATTGGGAAGTTCGAAAGTGAGACATCCCTCCAGCAATCCAACAAAGTGTTGAAAGGTGTCAATGCTGATGCACCGGTAGTTGTGCAACACCAACAGTGGATTGACATCAACATTGCTGGACAGAAAGGAAGAGTTGCACTTGATCGTCTTCCAAACTCAGATGTTCCACTTTTGCTTGGATTCCTTCAATTGCGAGAGCTTGGTGGATACAATGCTGCCCAAGACCGGACAACAAGGTTTCCTTGACCTCTCAAAGGCTCAGAATCCAATCGATTTGGAGGAGGATCGTGAGAACGTGGCAGAGTATGAGCCCTCCGAACCACCCGGTGCAGGTGAAACAGATCCATGCAGAAGAGTTGGCTGCAACCTATCAAGATGAATGCACCTCAAGTGGAGATGAGTCTCGTGAAGTGCGAGAAATGAGGAGATTGGATATAGAGAGGAGAAAAGAAGAAGGGAAGAGGAGACGACCGAGGCAGCTGATGAAGATGACAATGAAAAGATGAAAGGACTTCGAAGACCTAAGAAGCCAGTGGAAAAGTGGAAAGCCCAAGCAAGAAGAGGAGGAGACGAAAGAAGAAGTTGGAAGATCCTCAAAATCAACAGAATGTTGAGGAACAATCTGTTCCTCAAAGTGAAGGTCCAAGTCTTTCATCTATGGCATCAAAGGATGATGAGCGCAAGAGGAAGCGAGATGCACTTCTTGATGATGTCCCAGAATCATTCGCGGCGCGATCAGGAGGCGATTGGAGGAGAGATCATTGTCAGCGCCAGAAGGTGAGGAAGTTTCCATCACTCCAGAGGAGAAGGAAGGAAGCCATGTGTGTGGCCGTTTTAGCTGAGAGAGCTGACGCATACACGAAGCACAACAAGCACACCGAGCTCAACCCTCAGAAGATGAAGAGTCAGCTGCAGCAGTTCTCTGAGAGAGAAATTGATGAGTCCACGCAGAAGGCAGTTGAACAGGAGATTGGCACTTGGCAGAGATTTGATGCGATTGACATCATACCACCTGAAGAAAGCCATGAGATAAGGAAGAAAAGCCCGGAGAAGGTGATCTCTTCACGTGGAGTGTGGACCAAGAAGGACGATGAGAAGAGGGACGAGAATGAGAAGGAAGAACTGGTGTTGAAGTGTAGAGCGGTTGGAAGAGGATTTCAAGAGGAGTATGATGAAGCTCTTCGAAAAGATTCTCCCACATGCTGAAATTTGCTGGCGCAGGTGATTTGCAGCCTAGCGGCTTCAAGGTTCATGAAACTCACTGCAGCAGATGTGCGTGGTGCCTTCCTACAAGGATTGAAGATTGATCGTGAGCTCTACTTCGAACCTCCCAAGAATTTTGGAAAGGCCAAGATCCCAGGTGTTGCACCTGGATCCCTTCTAAAGCTCAAGAAGTCAATCTATGGAGTGAATGATGCAGCTCGTCAGTGGTACCACTCCATCAAAGGTATCCTTTTGCGCCTCGGGTGGGAAAGCTTGACCTTCGAGCTTGCAGGCTTTGTGTTGAGAGAACCCACAAGCAGAGAGGTGATTGCCATTTTGGCGCTGCATGTTGATGATGTGCTCATTGCGTGGGATGAGAAGAAGTATCCCAAAGAGTGCAAAGACATGCAGGAGAAGATGCAAAAGGAAGTGGATTGGGGACAATGGAGAACTGACGGGACCCTCAAGTTTTGCGGCCGACCATATCATCAAGATGAAGATGGGACAATTCATGTACATGCGCAAGAGTACATTGACAACATGAGCGCCTATAAGGTCAGCCGTGAACGAGGGAAGGATAACACTGCAACCTTGACCTCAAGTGAGACGAAAGCATTTCGTGGTCTGTTTGGACAACTCCAATGGTATGGCAGGATCATGGGCTATGCCATCGGATTTCAGGTGAGATCAAGGACCTCAAAATTTCAAAGATGCCGCAAAGCTTCCGTGATGTCAAGCAGTATCACAAAGAGGAGGAGCTAGTGTTCAGACCGAGCATGTCTTGGCAGGCCGACAACATTGCTGTAGTGGCAGTGCATGATGCTTCTTTCAACAACCTTCCAGGTCACAAGAGTCAAAAAGGGTTTTGGCTTGGCATTCCCACACCGGAACTGATGAAGGACAGAACTTCCTTGCACCGCATTCATTTTGTGCATTGGACCTCATCAAAGATTCAGCGTGTGGTGAGATCAACTCTCAGTGCAGAAGCCTACTCATGCTCTGAGGCATTAGATGCTCTCAGCTGGCTCCGTGCAACTATCCTGGAGGTACTACATGGAGAGCTAGACGTGCGTCACTACAAAGACCATTTGCATCGAGTGCCAGGAGTTACAGTGACAGACTGTCGATCGCTCTATGATTGCATGAAGTCGGAAAGAGTACTTCTTTCAGACAGGCGACTCTCATAGGAGGCAGCAATCGTCAGACAGAGCCTACATGAAGGCATTGAGTGCAGATGGGTTCCTTCAGAACAGCAACTAGCTGATGCATTGACGAAGGCATTGCGCAGAAAAGGTCTTGCTTATTTGAATGATGTGCTCTATTCCAACAAGTGGACACTTGGTCCTGATCCTCGATTACCGGAGACTTTCAAGAAGCAGGAAGTTGGAGATTCCCGAGACAAGGCCAAAAGAAGACAAGATTCACAATCATGATGAGGCAGAAGAGATCAACAAGAGGCCCATTGAGATTGAACAGGAGGACAGCCCCAACACTACCACCTCAGCAACCTCTACATCCATTGGCACAGGTGTGTGTGCGAAGTCAGTACTGATGTTTACGATTGCGCAGCAGTTCCTTCCGGTCAAGGCAGAACAGGACGTAAGGACGATTCTGTGGTGGCCATCCTGGGAGTTGATGTTTGCGTGCTTGAGCATTGTTCTGACAGCAACTCTATGGTACAACACGACACACTACACTCGATTGTTTCGGTGGTATGAGGACCTAGCATTGT